TATATAAAACAACTTACGTTAGAACATATTTTTGATATAACAAATGGTTTACGAGTAACATGGCAGTTAAATGACTTACCCTGTATATTTCTATAATTTTCTTTAAATTTTATCGATCATAGTTAAGTAATATTGTAAAGGACTAGATATAGAAATGTTGTCTTTACCACTTTGGTTCACAATTTTGAAAAATTCAGCACAAGCAGTTTGAGGGTTTTCAGGAGATACAGCTTTTAATACTTTGGTCATTTGATTATCTGCCAACGACGTAGACAGTAATTTCTTTAAAATATTTATATCGAAATGTTTAAAGGGACATCCTCCTTCATACATGGGGCTCGACACATTTGTCTAAAAATATTAAAAAGAAATTGTAGTAAATGTACAGACGGCTCATTTGATTTCGGACTTATTTCGAACGCAAATATTGAAAATGTGACAAATTTACGTAGTTTCAAGTAGCGACGGCACATGGAAAATAAAAAATAGAGAGAGTGTGTCACATGTTCTGTTCATGGAAAGTCGTTCCAAAATCAAATTAATATTCCATACAAACATTTGACGATATAAATGAGCATTACTTACACATATCAGCTCGCATGTAGGTGATTTATAATTCTTCCGAGATCCCTCTAAACCATAAAGATGTCTAATACTGTATATAAATTTCTTTTCACTCGATTGCCAATTATGTGAACAAGTAGAGGAGCAAGAGTGAGGCTTGGAATACTCTTCCTTCCAATAATTTATAGCATCCTCTAATTGCATCCCGCCTTCTTTTAAAAACAGGCTATAATAGAAACGTGCATAATGACTGAGTCTATGTGAACTCCTCAATTTCATATGCAAGTGTTGCATACAGAGCGGAAAGCTTTTTGCTTCCTTGTCAATATTTCTTCTATTTATGTCTCCGCACACGTAATTCACTTCAGATATTTTACAGTTAATTTTTCGATATAAATAGTTAAATCTACTATCTTGGTCTATAATACATTGTGCTCTTTCTTTAATAGATACTATTTCTTTATCTATATAAGTATGAAACAGTGATACCAGTACTTCCTTCCATTTGGAACAGTACACAATAGCATATCCTGCATTCAAGTCTAACTTCCTTTTGCTTACCAAATCTGGCAGTAGTTCAAATCTCACTGGAAGCAATTAAATTATTATTAATTGTTTATATGAATTAATAAATAAATGTACAGGGTAAGTCGCCCGAGGCAAGCCATCTGAATAACTTCTATTAGAACTTCTAGAAATTATTCAGGTGCCTTGCCTTGGACTGCTCATTCTGTATATGTATACACACCTTCAGTTTTAAAATGATTACAATCCTTTGGGTGATCTCCAGACAGGAAATGTTTAAAAATATGAGGCCTCAGAAGGAAATTGCATACATCAATTAATGCCTTGTTAATCAATCTTTCTTGATTTTTAAGTGATCTTAGTTGACGCTTAATGCTTCTAAGTAATCTATGTAATAATCTAGGTGTAATACAGTTCAGTCTAGTCAGGAATAATAATGTTTCTCTAATAATCCAATTATTAGATAGATCTTGTGACATAGATGTAATTAATCTAAAACAATTATTTAGAGATGTATAAATTATATCAATAAATAATATACAAAGGTATTAATGTTATTTTTATAACATTTATGCACCTCAATACAAAATGTCCAACTTTATCGTACAATGAATTTTCTAATAGATATTCAAAATTGCCATTAAATTCACTT